GGGCCTAGCAGTGACGGGCGAGGCTCGCCCTCGCTAGTGCCAGCGGGGGCAAGCTTTGCCAGAGGCAGGCGAGGTCGACCTCGCCGACTCGCGCCTCTGGCCGGTTGTCGGACCAGCCAGAGGGAAGAAGGGCAGAAAAAAAAAAGAAATATTTAAAAATTGCCACGTTAATGTTGGCTGAATGGACTCAATTGACAAGAAATCAAAAGGTTTATGACTAAATTGGCAAGAAGTGAAAATGTTTAGAACTAAATTGGCAAACTTAAAAGGTTTATGACTGAATTGGTAAAAGTACAATAGGTTTAGGACTTTTTAGATAATTTTCCTGGTTTTTGTCCATAAAATGATATTGAACGTGCCGTAAGTTTAAATAGTATATAACAATGGACAAGCACGAGCACAAAGTATTACTAAGTCAACAATGGATCAAGAAAGTGAAAAAAGTAAAAGCAAGATAAAGGAGAAAAAAAGAGTATAAAGGAGAGAGAAGAGAGCGCGGTGACTTACAATGAAATTCAAATATGAAAGTAAGAAAATCTTAAAATGCAAATGCACTTGCCTTCTCGAATCTATGTAGTTGGTGTGGTATATTGATGTTAAATTTCAAATGAATTGCATACTGAAATTATTTTTAAAATCCATGTCACATGACTGATAAAACTAACCGTAAATTATATACTTTCTGTTCAAAACTCTTATAAAAGAAAAGGATTAATACCACAAAAAATCCCAAACTGGTACACATGCGACATATTTATCTCAAACTAATTTTTTTTCCACGAAAACTCCAAACTGATACACATTTGACAATTTTATCCCAAACTAATTTTTTAACCACCAAAAACCCCAAACTAATACACATTTGATAAATTTACCCTCCGTTAGTTTCCATTAAATTGAATTAATACCACAAAAAATTCCAAACTGGTATACCTGTGATAAATGAAGGGTACAACCCCAAACCAGTACATCCGTCAACTACCACATGTCATCCAACTTGGCAAATTGACAGTAAAAATAGAAGATAAATTTGTCACGAATGTATCGATTTGTAGTTTTAATTTAAGATAAATTTATCACAAATGTATCAATTTTTGGATTTTTCATGGTATTGACCTTGAAAAGAATAGAATAAGTATTGAGCCGTAATATTGTGTAGCTCATCCACATTGAAGACCTATCAAATTTATTATATCAACCCGAAATAATAGTGCACACTCGATTTTCACAAATACATTTATATTAGCAAAACGACACATGGAATTTTATGAACAAGGTGCTGCATATGAGAAATAAACCTGGACAAAACCCAGTTATGTTTACATGTTAAAATGTCCAAGCCAAAAACTTAAATAATAGATGAAGAAAGACCGCATATATATATATATATATATACCATAAATAAGTGATATGGAATGCTACATTGGATCGTATAATTATCTCCGAAATGGGTTAATTATAAGGGTTAATACCACGAAAAATCCCAAATCGGTACATCTGTGATAAATTTACCATAAACTAATTTTTTGACCACAAAAAATCATAAACTGGTAAACTTGTGACAAATTTACCATCCGTTAGTTTCTGTTAAATTTTATTATTAAATTATTTTGTTAAATGACATGCGGCAGTTAATGGATGTACCAATTTTGGGTTTTACCCTCCGTTTGTCACAGGTGTACTATTTTGTAATTTTCTTTTTTGTATTAATCCAGTTTAATGGAAACTAACGGAGAGTAAATTTATTATAAATGTATAAATTTTGGATTTTTTACTGTTAAAAAATTAATTTGTGATAAATTTATCGTAAGTATATCAGTTTGGGATTTTTGGTGATCAAAAAATTAATTTGAATTTGAGGTTTTTTATGATATCAATCCTAATTATATTATCTGACCAAAAAAAAAACCCTAATTATGATAAATCAATTATCAAAAGCGCGAAAGCCCGAATCAACGGCGGGGAGCCATTCGTTTTAAAATACGATCCCCTTTTGCCTTTTGGTGGGGAGGAGGAGGTGGGGCCCCGCCATGCCTCCCATTCTTCAAAAGCGAGCGCACTCGAATATGCTTCCCGCACCGGACGGCGGACAATTTTTCAATAATCAATCTGAATGTTTTTCTTCCTCTCCTCTTTTTTTTTTTTTTTGTGTACGGCGGAGATGATGACGTCCACAGGATCTCTGGTTGGTGCTGACCTTATTTTAGCGCGGCACCGCCGTACGGGGAAAGCGCCAGTGGCGTGGTGGTGTCTTCAGTTGTCCCGTCCGTGTGGGTGGTGGTGGTTCGGGTGGCCGGGGGTCTGCGAGGGCTTGTGGCCAGAATGCCATCATTGCGTGTTTTTAACAAAATAGTGAGTGCGACTCGAGTATTTACCCAAATTCTCGTGCCGTTTCTTCTTTTTGTTTGCTAGATTATCTTGTCCCACTTAAAGTTTGGAATGTTACTAGTATTTCCTGAAATTACGAAGGATTTATAAATTTAGGTGTCGATACCGGCGTTTTTTTTTATGAAGTTTGTGAGTGTTCCGATCTCGAGGAGCCGAGGCCTGGCGAGTGGAGATAGGAGACCGACAAGAGTCGACCGAGAGCGGAGGTGTTGGTGGTGGAGGTGTATCGCGAGGGGGGTTGGTGGGAAAGCGGAGGTCGGGATGGTGGAGGTGGCGGTCCTCACGCGGTGAGGGCCTATGTAAATCTAGGCATCACTATCGGCATTTTTATGAAATTTGTGAGTGTTTCGATCTCGACGAGCCGAGGCCTGGCGAGTGGAGACCGGAGACCGACAAGAGTCGACCAAGTGCGGACGTGTTGGTGGCGGAGGTCTATCGCGAGGGGGTTGGTGGGAAAGCGGAGGCCGGGATGGCGGAGGTGGCGGTCCTCGTACGGGGGGCCTGTGATGCTATCGCTGGAGGTTACAATAAGTGGTGGGATAGTGTGGTCGCGCAAACGAACAAAGGAGGAGGGAGGAATCGGATGACCGACGGATGGCGTCCACGTGTCATTCATTGTAGGCTGGGGACAATACAATGGTACTATTGGCCGGAACGCTACCCCGGCACCCCACCACATGTCGCGGCCTCTCGCTACACTACTTGATACAACCCCTTATCTTGCTTGCCCTCTCTCATCACGGCCACCAAAGCCGTGGAAAGACAATGGGTGACCTCAACCCGAGGTTGCTCAGCTCGCACGTCCTCGGGTCGAGGTCACGGAAGCCGTGGATGAGATCACATCCGACGTCCACGGTGGCGGCCAGCGACTTCAGACCGATGTTTCCACCCGAACTAAAGTTCCTTCACATTAATCACTACTATTCAAATGGTATAAACCAACCTTTATCCAGCACTCTCCACAGACACTGGGTCAATGCCACAACTCCTAACGAATTTTTGACCTTTTGCTCTCGAGGGGAATAAATTGCATCGTCGGGAGTACAAGATAATTTTTTGACTACTAAAAATTTCAAATTGGTATACCCGTGACAATTTTATCCTTATTTTGTTTCCATTAAATTTTACTGTCAAATTGCTTTGTTAAATGACACGCGGAAGTTGACTAATGTGTCAGTTTTATGTTTTACCCTTCCTTTGTTATAAGTGTACCAGTTTGTGATTTTTTATGGTATTAATTCAATTTAACGAAAATAAACGTAGAATAAATTTGTCACAAATGTACTAGTTTGAGGTTTTTAGTGATCAAAATATTAGTTTGAGGAAAAATTATCATATGTATACAAATTTGAAGTTTTTTATGACCAAAAAATTAATTTTGGTAAAATTATCACGGATGTACTAATTTAAAATTTTTCGTGGTATTATCCCTTTTAACAAAAGACGTTCCCGTGGATCACCATCATTCGATCCTGCCCCTCTTTTACTTTAATGTTTACTCAGCGCTGGTCGTGTTTAAGGTTTAATTAATCTCCGCTTTTGGCTTGCATCATCATGACAACCTTGGACCCCAAAAAGGTCATTCATCTTCTTTTGCCTTTAGATTTCATGACCCTTTCATGAAAAGAAACGCAACAAACAAAAGAAACTTACATGGCATGATTAAAGAAGCGAAACATAGTGTCTTCCTATTCGTGGGTGGCGGTGGGCCTTACTTGCAATGGGGACAATGGAACGACACAAAGTAGAGCGACAAGATAACAACGTCGGTCAAGATCTTGCGTGTGCGCCCTTTATGCTTTTCTGCATAATCAAATGCTTCAACCTTGGCTAAACAGAGAGAAATCCTGCCATTCGTAAGGGACTATGCAAATTATAATACGTGCTCGGCCGAATCTTCCTTACGTGAAAGTTGAGTTTTGTGATGACAAATCATGACTAAAGTAGGTGTGGGTCCAAAGTTGCACTGGACTAGCTAGAGATTCAGATTATAGAAGGTGGGGGAATCAATGAAAAAGGAAGAGTGCATCTGTTGGGTCTCGGGTTCGTGCATTGACTGTCGATCATGAGATACATCGAATTGAACAACTCAATGCAAGCACGCAAATGACTCGAATTATGCCTTCTGAACATGATCCAGAGTCGACCTCATGGCATGTAACATGATCTAGTGGACTTCATTCAACCAGAAGAAAGCAATCGAGAACCTAAGCAGTTTCACAATGCGCAAGAGAGATCTCACAACAGGAATGCTACACAGATGCAGTATAGCCTTTTCGTCAAACTCGCTTGTTTTGTAAGACCCGCTAATCTGTCAACATTAATTACTCTATATCAATGCATTAGAAGCTGATTGCTTTTTTCAGATTGATCCGCTTTCAACTTTTCCTTCTCTTATGTGAGAGCGACTTGGATCTAATGGTCGAATTGCATCAAACAGGTTTGTGTCGAACCCTCTCCCTTTTCTCATGCAAAGAGAGAAATTCGTGTCTATGGTTACTAACAACTCTATGTCATATATACCAACTTCATAATTTTCAAAGCCACGTCATGGATGTCGATGCTATATAGTTGGAGCCACAAGCATATATGATGTCCAAAATAGAGCAGTATGGCCAGCAAAGGATTGACATTATATTTACTGAATATGAACAATTCGTGCCATTTGCCCAAAAAGAACAATTTGAGCATCGGCAGTATAGGAGACAGGAATGAACAATTTAATGATGGTTAAATTGATTCTCAAAAACTGGCTCTAACCTCATGTATGGGGCTACTTACACCGTCGCCTAACAAAAAATCCGAGTAGCGATTCTACGAAACTGAAACACTTCCATCTGGCTGCTGCACGCTCAGTGGTTTTCCTACAGACGAGTATCATTCAATTCAACACAGATAAGATGCACCAGAATAAGTACAATGAAGAGAGATAAACACGTAACGATATTGTCAACTTCCGAGTATGGATTTATTCCACAACAATGGTAATGGACCTGATCCTAGACAAGCGTGTAGTGTTTTCACAGGCAAGCGCATGTGAGAGTGCAGGCGAATGCATGTGCCTGGGTATATATATATAAGCATGCAACCCATATATGAGCAACACAAAGCAAGGTTTTCGAGCCTTCCAAAAGCAAGTGCTAAATAGCATCCTTGAGAAGATGTGCATATTTTCCATCTCCCTCAGTTGCTGTTACATATTGGACCCCTCGAAACATTGCACGCAAATTGCAAGCTATTCTTCTCTCTCTAATGCCTTGAAAAGTAATATGCGGCATAGCTTGTAAGTAGTGACGTAGTTTGATAAGTGAAAATATCATTGACACTAGAAACAAATCTATTCTGACAATCAATGGAAAAATGTAATGATAGGCACAAGATTCATATCTTCTAATGTTTCAGCAATTTGTTTTGGGGGCCCAACTTCTGAGTTATGGTTTATGAATTTCCATTAAAAAGGTTATTATGAATTGAAAAAAATAGCAAGATCATAATTAAATTGCAAGGAATTGAGGTGTCCACTGTCCCATAAGAAAATTAGTCATGATAAGCTAATATTCAATCATAGATAAAAGGCAAACACCAAAGGACAAAAACTAAGCAAAAATAAAAGTAGAATTCCATAGCTATACACCAGTCTCCTTTCAATAAGAAATTGGAAACCGGGCTTTAACCTTGTTCTCATACTGATGAAAACCATTACCTGAGTCACCAGCAAAAGAATAACCATTGGGAAAAGTTCTGCCTTTCATTAACTGAATTGGATCATCCTGCGGCCTCAAAGCAGCATCAGCGGATAGATAATTTGATACTTTTGACGGTGGCAAAGATACTGCAGCGATATCTGAACGTAATGAACTTTTTGAGAGAACTGGGTCAGGTTCTTGCAGTAAAGGCGATGGCTGTGCATCTCTCAGTTCCTGAGAATAGAATGAGCAAAGTTGCTTTCTCATAGTCATTTTTGCAAGTTAACACCACTACCTCACAAACAATGGCATGTTAGCTATCAGAGAAATATGGTAAAAGTATATCATTTAGCGCCGGTACCATGTGGACTGGTGAGTTTGATCTTACTATGCCAGACATAGTTCTTAACTCGTAAAGGCAAATGAAATAGGGATTTGCCTTGCATCATGCACAAAAAATGATAATAAAATTAACATCTTCTGAACAGAACACTTAATTTGTTGTGGGATACGAAAGTCCCCAAGTTTCAGTGGTATCACCATTAAATGATACACTTTCTCAATAACCAGAAAGTTGAATATTGCACTTCTCACATTTTCAAAGTCAAACTAGCTAAGAGCAGAATTCATAAAGCCTGCACCATCAACAAGGTTTATATCTATGTGAGGACTCCAACAATTAGCATTATGAAGGATCTGCCTCCCAGCATCAAGTATGCCTTTACATAAACTAAGAATATCACATGACTAGTATATGCAAAAAGGAGGCTAACACAACAGGCTATTAACATAGCAGAGACACTAGGAAATCAAGTATCATCGTAAGATTAAGCGAAACGGGTCAGATGACATCAAACACTTGCTCAGATTATAAGAACAAAGAAGAAAATAATTCTTAAAACAACCTATTTCCCATGAGTAAAGAACTCTATTGAGATCAAGCTTGCATTGACATCTTCTTATACTTACTAAGTCATCAAGAAGCCCATCAGTTGATGTCATGTAATAAAGATGGCCGATAGCTGATCGGAGACGATTGCTTCTCTGAGAATAATATATTTTGCTAGCAAGTGGCACAGGAGTACCTAATATCACAACTACCGTTAGTCTTATAAAACCAAAAATATTTATAATAGGAAACTGAAGCAATATTGCATGAAAATTCTCAGAAACTTCTCTAGAGAAGCAACTTTGGCTTTAAATCGCATCTTACCTCATGAAATGAACAATTACAGTGTACTTCCCCCACAGAAGTTTGCAAATTACAGCACAGCCAGACAGTCATACCTTGTGTCAATTGGCTATTTGTATAAATTTGCAAGGGATTCTTATAGTCGATAGCACAACCACTCTTCGCTTCTTGTTCCGGAAGTGATTCTTTTTGGAAATCTCTACCTGGCAACATGCAATGGAAAGCTAATAAATATACCATTGGATATACTGTTGGATCGTGCACCCTATATCAGCTTTGAACATATTGTAGAGTAATCCAAATGACCAAGCACGTAGTTGTCTCAAACACGTGATAATACAGAAAAAAAATGACAAAAAGATTAAGGGCCTGTGTGATTATACTTTAATATAAACAAAAATTATTTTTTTGCTTTCTCATCAAAATTTACAATATTATTCAAAATTCAGAAAAATATGAAAAATATATATGTAATCTACGTATCATTTGAGTGTTGTAAAAGTTTCAAGAGTTTCCGATTTCAAAAAAAGTCAAAGTGCGTGAGCTGCAAGATTTTAAGTTAGGTAAAAAGCTAAAAGTAAAAATCAATCCAGATAGGCCCAAGTTTTCAAAATGACAAAGATTAAGCCTTCAAATCGCAATTGTGATCCTGCTATATGTGGTTGATCCTCTTTAAGAGATTACTCTATCTCATAGCATGTCCTCAAAGATTCATGCAATTTCGATATTGAAAATTATAAATTTCTCAGATTTCTTACCTCTCCTCTCACCAGTTTTAATGGTACATAACATACTCGAATAAGAAATCCAACTTAATTTGGAAGGCTTTCATTATCTACTCATGAATACTTCACTGAAAGTGGAAGGTAAATCATTTGGCTCTCTCGTCCAATAATGTATAATTTGAGGAACTTGGGTTCAGTATTAAATGCTGCAAAAGGTTTTGCCAATTAAAATGCAAAAGATCCTTTGAAAATCCATTAATTATTTTGCATGAGTCTTTTGCATTACTTCATGCAAGCAAAGGCCACATCATGTACCTCCTAGTTTTCGGCAGTTCAGCCCTTTAAAACCATATCAACTTCCAAGTATTGCTCCATTTCCAAACATCCCCCTCTTATCCAAACACAAAGTAAAGCCTCCCTCTCTTCTACTCTCTTTTATCTTTTTGGCCAGTTATATGTTACTCTCTTTCTAGAATTTTTGTGATCTAAAAACTGTAACTCTACAAATAAAGTGAGCCACAGAGCAACGATGCATGTGCTTGATTTAAGGTCCCTGTTTCTAAAGAAGAGAAGTAGGCTGCCAAGATGGCCTTATTACAAAGTGAATATGGTAGTCAATAATAGACTTATATATTCTACTTAACCTTAGGTAGTTTGTTACTTCCTTTCATACTAATTCATTACACACTCTAATTCATCTAACATGTCACAAATACGTTCCTTCCGCATTTGCAGTATTATGATGTTTATTTACTTGACCTTTACATCTTTCACCCAACGGGTGCTCCAGGGAGGAGCATACTCAAATTAAATGCAACATTTTATACCCATGCCATAATTCAGCTTTGACAATGTTTTTTCAAAATTTTCAATTTCTAAACTCAAAGACCTTAATTTAAAATCAAACCCCGGGAGTTCATTTATTGGTAAAGGAACAGACTTATGTGCGTGATTTAGTTGCATGATTGCAATACCCCATGAAATCAGACGCAAATAGTTTCATGATTGGTCGGACCAATTTGGTCCACCAACTCAGGTTTCGACTTGTCTTGCATAATCCATAAGATTAATGGGTTATTTCACCCGCTGAAAGTTTATCCATTTTTGTTTTGTAACCTGTATAGCTTCCTTTGGCATGTTTCACATCAATGACACATCTGTGGAGACCTGCTCTTGAAGACCACTAGGAAGTTTGGGGTATTGTCAATTTGGTTTTATTACTGGTCTATTAAATGATGAAGCTTCATTGTTATTAGGTAAATTATTGATTTTTTTGACATTCTGCCAACCCAAGTTTCAGGTGGACAAGGAATTATGATATTTCAGTGATCTTTCTTTTTAGACTTTTCTGCTTTGAATAATTTATCACAATTTTTTATGCTTAGTGTTGGCAACATTCAACTCTAGCAAAATCTATCTGCATTTTCTTTATGAAAGACAAAATGTAAGGGTAAATTAGAGAATAAAAAGCTTTTCCTTCCCAAGGAGATTAAAATATGAAAAAGGCCAGGTTATAGACCGTTACATCTGGTATACTCTCAGGTTAGAAATGATCCACAATCCCTATTTATTCGTAAAAAAACACTTAAAAGAATAGGACCCAAATGTTACAAGAATCTTTCTCCCTGGCTTCAAATAACGGAACTTGAATATTATTGCCAAAGCAAATGACATACATCTGACAAATGTGAGGAAAAAAAAAAGCTATCACATAAACCAAACACAACCTATCAAATGCATAAGATCGAAAGAACATAACAAAGAAAAAGATGAGGCATAAGAATTTGAATTATGGACCCAAATCATACTCAGGTCAAACTTGTAATCAGATGTAATAGGCTAAAACAATTCTCAAGCTAAAGACACTCGTTTTTGAATTCCTCATAGAAAAACAGTCAATTAATTTAGCATTCAATCACTAGAAGAAAATGAAGTTTCACAACTGTTGAGGAAAGAATCATATATTGCCAGAAGATGGACAATCCAAAAGTTATGCATGCCAGATGTCAGAAAACAAATTCCAAATTTCAAGTCTAGGTAGCAAATTCAAACTATGAACGTGTACTTCTAGTGATACCAGAATCTGTTTCTCGATCATCTGTTTCTGACATATGCTCCCCTGCTATCCTACAAGAACAAAATATAATTCAGATATTACAACAAAGAAACAGAAAGAAAACATCTTTGCTATTGGCCTTTATTGAGAAAAAACCATGTGACTATCAAAAGCATTTATCCTACTAGATATGTCAACATATTCTACAAATAAGTATACATTTTACTCATTTAAACTCTTATTCAAGTAGTACATATTAAGAAAGGCATATTTCATCCGTCTAGGCCTTCAATATACAACACGAGCACTAGATGACCTTTGTTGAGATGAAGATTGCGCAAATTGTTTTGTTGGCCAGTGAATGCTGCTTAGATTAACAAGTTAACATATGAATGAAGAGATGAAACAAGAATGGAATCATACAATCTAGAACGTTTCACAGGAGGATGCATTTGACTTGCTGACTCATCAGCATTTCTAGGGATAACTCCTGGATCATCTTTACTTCTTGGAACTTGACTAGTTGAATTTCCTGAAGTAAATAAACTCACATTAACAATTCAGTCTGTAAAAAGTTCATATATCTAACAATGCATCACGAACAAATAAAAAGACAATTTTAATGAATATATGTCCCCAGATCAAGGAAGAGGAGATGCAGTAGTTACAAAAAGATCCCTGCAGACAGGCCATGTAATGACCCTTACGGCATTTTTTGACACTTATACAACTTGATAAATAACCCTAGAAAAACATAGATAGTGATGTTTCCACAGTGCTCCCTAACGTTTCTCTCTTTCAATAAATGCAATACGTAGGCAATCACATTCTTCGATAGAATAGATGGCAAGATAATTATTTAAACGCGGGTTCAAGTCACCTGTACCTCTTTTCCTCCCCCACCCCCTCTTATTCCAATCTGTGTCACCAAGAATCTTCACCTACTGTTGGACCATTCTAGTGCAGCTTGTGGATAATTATATCAATGAAACCAGATTCATTTTTGAGTTCTTGCTTTGATGTGCTTCCTTTTAAAGTGAATATATTCACTACCCCTCTGAAGAACAAGAGATTATCCAACGGAATGATATGTGAACAAACACCTAATGATATGTGATACTAAAAGTCCATGTGGATTACGCTGAGAATTTTGTGTAGGTGCGTCACACTCTAGGCTAATCAACATGCAACTCTAAGAATTAGCTTCAAGGATGATGTGTGTGGAAAATTTATGAAGGAAATGGTTAACAACAAGAAAGAGAGAATCCGAAAATGGAAGAGAGAGAGAGAGAATTTTGAATAGAATTATAGTGAGAAACACAAAATTTTCATAAACTTTGACCTCGTCCCTTCTAACACTCAGGTGGCTTGCAAGACTAAATTAGTATTCATTTTGTAAATGTTTCCTAACTTTCAGTGCAACATGGCAAGGTGTTGTAGGTGTTATGGTAACGGCAAGAAATAACAACTTCAAGAAATTCAATACTAAATTTCATAAAAGACACAGCTAGAGCCAAAAGTCAAAAACTCAGTTAAAAACATTATCCTGTCCATGCCAAACAGCCTATCCAAGATCTCTCTCTCTCTCTCCAGAGCTTCAATTGCAGATCGTTATTTGGCCACAAACTGTAGAAGACAAAAACATCTATAATTTGAGCTTTGATTCCAGATCTGTAACTTTTAGTCTCTTGTTCCCAAAATAAATTTAACGTCAGAACAAATTTTATTCTGACGTTGCACATGTCTTTCTTGCTCGGTGAAGATTGCCTCTGAAACTCAACATTAACAAAGTCACGGTGCCCTTTGAATAAGATTGAGTTCTTTTGAGTTTCTGATACTGAGAACATACTGTCGTACAAATGTCCTATGAAATTAAGGTTTAGGCTGGTGATTCGTATTCTGGAAGTTTTGTTCAGTAAAGATGGATGCAGGAGGTATTTTTAGGTGGCGTTTGGCTACTTCACTTAGATTCACCATGTACACTTCTCATTCCTTCTATTAGTACTTGGAAAATTAGAGCGCAAGTTGAGGGCCATAACTTCATTCTAAAGGAAGAACTTCCCATTCCAAGAAAGTTTAGCTCCCCTTGGGTCAAATGCAAGATCTTGTCGTTTTTTTAATTGATGGAGACACATGTAATCTAATGTAATATCCAGTGACAAAATGGTGATTTTTTGCTCATAAATATCAAGCAATTCAAGTTTGAGCTTGAGCACATTTTTATTTGGGCAAAATCAAGTTCAGTAAAGTCCAGTTAAGACAATCTTGAAAACATTGGAAACCATTTCAAGTTGAGTTGAGCATAATAAAATGATAGTTGATCCAGCTCGAGTTGAGCTTCAAGAAGTTGATGAGTCGAATAGAGTTAGAACATGAACTTGCATTGCCCTATTGCAGCTCACTTCTACACCTAGTTACACATATTAACTGAATAAAACCAAACTCCGGTTAAGATGCAGTTAATCAAAGATAAGCATGCACATGATCAAGAAGCACTAGCAACAACAGTGAACTACCTTTGACCTCCAAACATAAAGAAGATGATTGCTGGTTTCCATTATAACGAAACTGTGGTTCAACAGTGATGGTATCCTTCACAAATTCATAATTCCCTTGCTCTCCAATAGTGAGTCCCTGCTCTAATAGCAGATAAGGATGCAAATGAAAATTGTCACCCCTAAGGAAAGTTGAATGATTAAACCATCATTATTGTCATAATAAAATCAGATTCATCATTGTAATCTTAACAAAACCAAGAGCATCAAGAAGAAATAAAAAGAGTGAGTCCCTGCTCTAATAGCAGATAAGGATGCAAATGAAAATTGTCACCCCTAAGGAAAGTTGAATGATTAAACCATCATTATTGTCATAATAAAATCAAATTCATCAATGTAATCTTAACAAAACCAAGAGCATCAAGAAGAAATAAAAAGCCGAGGATTGTCTAATACTAATTACTAAATCATTTCATTTCCATTAAAGGGAAGCAGATTTCTAACAAAGAACAGATTTACACTAAGCTCTAAGCATAGAAGCATGCATGCAGAGAGAGAGAGAGAGAGAGAGAGAGAGAGAGAGAGAGAGAGGATACTGGGAGTGGTGGACTTTTTCCTCTCCTTCCTAGGTGGTCTTTTGCCCCTTCCAGTGCCATTAGGCTCCAAAACAGCTTCTTGTGTAGAATTCAATAACCTACAGATATCTGAAAAAACAAGGAAGGAGTGAACCAAAAAGGATAACAAGACCCAACAGATTAGGATTATCAGTAAAAGTCTTTTCTCTATAATTTAAAAACCTCCATATTTCAGAAACATTTGAGGAAAATATCTTCGCGTGAAGAAAAATAATAGCTACAGCCAGTAGGTTAGGCTTCTCGATTAAATGGTAAAGAGTGCACTAAGGCTATCCAGAAGTTTCAGGCCATGTATTGCATTAGACTGTGGATCATAGAGACTTGCTAAAAGAGTAATAAGTATAAAGAGAATGGGATTCACAACTCTAAGAAAAATCAAGACAAGTGATATAGCGATTCACAATAGTATTAAGAAAAAAAATCCAATGAAGAGGGAGTTGTACCGCTAGAAGAGGAGGTGAGAATTCTACTAGGGAGAAAACAAAGATGAAGATTTTCTGGTCTTCTCACCATGGCAATAGTAGAGGAATTACACTCTAATCAGATTTATCATCAGATAAAATAAGACAAAAGGAGAAGATGATTGAACAAGACAAAACCAGATAAGATATCCAGATTGATTAGGAGTCATAGACGGCATGGCACACATACAATCCTCAATTTAGCAGAACAATTTTGCCAAAACTTTCTCTTTAAATATGCTAGATGACAGATAAGCAAAACAGAATCCCTCAATGCTTCACAAAAGTCAGGTTCAAACCTTGATGAGCCATATATTGACTGGCCTTGATTGGCTTCTTACATGCATTGCAACATACCTGCAGAGAGAATATTGCCTTAAGATGAAAAGCCGTATCTCGTGATCATCATAAGCAAAACAATCTCACTGTTTATCCTCAAAAAAACTAACAGAAAGTGGATGGAAAGTACAATCACACAACTGAGAAAGCAGCAAAGCAATATCATTTAAGGTAAAACCTACTATAAATAAGTATTAAGATAATAGATTATGAAGCCAATTCAAAACATAAACTTGAATCTGAAGGCAAATATTGTCGTAATCTTCTCAAACTAAAGTCTTTGTCCTAACATATTTCACCACCGTGCTTCATGAGCAAGAGGAACCAAAGGCACAATGCAGCTCTCCTCATCAATAAGGGTAGTTGCAGTGATGTACATAAACCCAAGAAAAAGTAAGAAATGCACAGGTAAGGACCAATGAAAAAGGACAAAGACAACATGCATTTCCGAACCTTACCAAATGCAGTTGATCAGCCATAGGCTTCAAACCATATACATGCATGTCTGCATCCACAAAGCAGAAACCGCAAGGCAATCAGATAATCAAAAAGAACAAACAATCAGAACAGAATAGCACTTAAAATAATTCACAGCACTTGCACAACTAGATGCCAGAGCATACGTTCTCTATATGTTTTCTTCATATTTTAAGACAGATTAATCCATCCTCCAGCCTGGTGGCTTTGGGAGCTTCTCTCAAACCCCAGGTCAGGGGTTTGAGAGTTGGAAGTGAGAGAGAGAGAGATTGACCTACATACAATCTAACCCAATAAATAGTTGAATGAGTGCAGAGAACATAAAAATTTTAATGTGAAAAACTACATACTAAATTTTTTCCTTCTACTTTCTCAACAGGCTTTGGCAGCGAAGGTTATCAAAACATTTAAAAGCTTAGACTCTTATACCAACCTTGATCCATATACTATATAACACATGACCTGTTAACTAAAGATATGTCCGGATTGTCTTTTACTTTTCACTTTTTGCTCAATCTAAATCTTACGACACACACCTATTGAACTTCTTTTAAACCAAAACATCTAAAACTTTCGAAACATATAAATGTTGACATAATTCGAATATAACTTTTTCATATTCTTAAATAGTGGTTATGAGCATTCAACATACAATGACTGAATATCCATGCCCAAACTCTTTGTCCTTATTAAGCTGCTTGTTGCTTGAAAGATATTTGCCAAGATGAAGAAGAACAAAATAAAAAGACAAAGAGACTCAGCCATTCCATGGGCCAAGTCAAGATACTTCTGGTCAAGATTTCACATTCTCAATGTCTTCCAATTTTACCCTATAAAATCAATCTCACATGCTGTTGGACAGTACTCAGGTTCCTTGCATTTTCATCATTGTGATTCTATCGTGGAAGGTATATCCACGCTACCTATTGATGTTCTACAGGAATCTCCGTTTAAAAGGTAACCCAAAAATCAAAGTAAAAAGAAGAAAACCGCAATTCATTTAGTACAGAAATAACAATTCACAATCAAGTAGGTCAACCAAAAATTAAAGGAAAAAAGAAGAAAACGATGACCTTGTTTCTGAAGAAGAGAAATAACAACAATTGAGCAGGCAAGGTTATCAAAAAAAAACAATTGACCAGGCAACATACACCACCCGAGGGCATAAGTTTATATGAGAATGAACTTACTCATTAGTCTACTGCCACTCCACTACCCCGTCATTGCAACGAAAATAATAGCCAACAATGCAAAAATTCCATTGCAGCACCATGTATACTAGAAGAATTACCTTCCTCATCGAGCAAATTTGCTTCATCAGTGTCACGAAATTCCTTAAAAATGTGCTGAGCCAATAATTTCTGATGGCTAACTTCCTCTTCTGAAGTTGGGCAAAAGAATTCATAATCAGTCAACAATTAAAAGAAAAGGCACCAATATCAGACTGTCTGAAAAACAAAGTATCACCAAATGAGGTCTAGAGCTACATGTTGATTTCCTTGAGATACAATAGAAGAAATGAAGAGAAAAATAGTTTGAGAACAAAGTGCCAGCGAAGGTTCTTGTTTCTTCCTAGGAGGCACCATAGGGGAACATTTTAACCATTGACAACTTGCAAGAGAATGGTAAAATCTTGCTAAACAAATGCTGTTCATCCAAAGGAGCTGAAGAGAAAGTTGAGTTGATCATCTATCACTCCATTGCCAATGGTCTGGGCGCCTATGGTATACCATGAGGGCAATTCTGGGCATACAATTGACAATTGCAAAGACAGTCGAAGAAGAGTTGAAAGTGCGAACTGCTATACAAGTGTGCAAAAGGAAGAGAAAGTTGATTAATATAATCCCTCTAGCAACTTTTTGGTTTATTTGGAGAGAAACAAACAAGAGACTTTTCCACCTTACCCAAAAAAATCAAACAAGAGGCTTTTCCTTACCCAAAAAAAAAAAACAAGAGGCTTTTTTATGGCAAAGAAAGTCACTTAAGTTCTGTCAGGAATTCATGGTTTTAGTAGTTATCACCAGCAGTCAGGTCTTGATATAAATGACATACTAGACTGAGTGGACAAAATCTCTCATAGATAACGCTTTATATGGGGAAGCACTCCTTTGCGCCATTTGAATGGAATCTTTTAGACTAATTATTAACTTGTAATTACAAGCAGCGTTTCAATGAAGCTTCTGAGTGTTGCTAACATCTACCAGTTCCTACTTGGACAAAATGCTTCATACATACAGTGTTCTCATTTATAAGTTTGTCAAATCGCTTGTAATTATTTCTGGCTCAATAGTATTATGACAAAATAAAATGCAACCATGCCTGTGGAAATACATTTCAGTTCTATCCGACAATTAGAAACTGCTCCATGTATCAATTGAACTCATTATGAAACAGTGTAGTACAAATTGCATATTCGTTTCAGAGAAGTCCATCACTGTGCATAAACATAGATGTACTAGCAAACCTTGAAGACAATAAAAGGAAAAGAATTTCGGCCCCATTTTGCTCAGACTTCAAAGCAGGCCTATGCAATATCATTTATACATCAAAAAATAATTCCTCTATGCTCCAAGTCAATCAGAATAACCATGTATAAGCGACGAGACAATCACAAGCTTAATGAATTTTTTTTTAGTGCCATGGAATGATCAAACGGTGCTTAGGATAGGGGCCATGCAATACACAGCCAATATATACCTGCTGTATTGGAGAAACCGCCTCCCGCAAGAACCCGAGCCAAAACAGCCATTTTCCCACTCCCAACTGGGCAAACCATAGTGACGGTCTAACATATATCTGCACATCGAAATTAACAGTACAGTTACGCAAATCGCCTGAGAAATTCGCAATGGTTATGGCATAAAGCTGCGTTCATCGCGCCAAAACCATCATCAATTATGGAAGTCTCGTACGAGAACAACAACGACATGAATGTTTGAGTGCATATGCATGATCCGTTGACCCGCAATTAGGCGGAAAAACATAACTACCATCATCTATCCGACGGGAAATTACAAAATTCGACACCTAAAGGCTTGCGATTTGGAAAATCAAAGTACGTAGCACAGAATGCATATATTACCAAGAAAAACCAACTAGTTCCAACAGACAAGCATGCAGCTCCTTAATTGCACCATTCTCATCCAAAAGCTCCCGACAATCATCGCGGCCGAAACAAAAGAACATTTTTTTCTCACAATTCAATCCACAAATCATATCCACCGCACCATATATTGCTCATCTGCTCAACCGAATCAGCTCCAACAGAGGAAATACCTCAACCTGCACGAACTCCAGCTCGCACCGACCGCGTCGAAACGGCGAACCCCGCGAAGCAGCAGAACGAGACGAACCCGATCGAACTCCGAAAAGAGCAGAAGAACGGAAAACGCCGCCGCCGATCGAAGCAATGTACGTCGGAACGAGAGAGGCCGACGAGAGCCTTCGCCAATGGGCCGGCTCCGGCGACGGCTGAGAACCCTAGGAAAGAGGGACGGGAGTCGCCGCCGCCCCCCTCATGCCGTCCGATGCGCCTCCCCCTCCCTCGCGCGCGCGCGCGCTCGGCGATGCAGCGGAGGAATCGCAGTTTGCTCTCTCTCTCCGATTTTAGAGAGAGAGAGAGAGAGGGGGAGGAGAAGGAAGAGAGAGATTGCGAAGCTTTTGCTGGAGGATGAAATGTTGGTGGCGTTTATATTGTTTGTGCGCTGCCTCGTTATCGTGATCCTCGCCGCACCGTACCGAATCTCTGCAATTTTTTTGAAATTCGGAGAGAAAAAAAATCATTATTCCTTTTCTTTTTCCTTATAGATTTTATGAAATTTTTTTTTTCAAACAAATAAATAAATAGGTTAATACCACGAAAAATCTTGAACTTGTACGCTTCTGATAATATATGCCAAACTAAATTTTTGACCACCAAAAACCCCAAACTTATACACTTATAATAAATTTACCTTTCGTTAAATTGAATTAATATCACGAAAAATCATAAATTAGTAAATTTGTGACAAAGAAATGGATAAAACCCTAAATCGGTATACTTGTCAACAAACTTAGCAATTTAATGGTAAAATTTAATGAAAATTGATGGAGGGTAAATTAGTTACATGTCTACCTGTTTTGGATTTTTCGTGGTATTAACCTTAAATAAATTCAACGTCCTATAGTTCTCATTGGTCTGGGCTTTTATGATGGTAAAATCGCTTGACGGTTTGTTTGAATCGATTTAAAAATATAAAAGTAATTTAAGATATATTTTGCTTTCTAGGGAGACTTTAATTCGCGAAAAATAGTGTTGAGGTACGCACCACGCGCGTACATGGTCGCGGATTTATTATGTAGGAAGAGAAAAGAATCTTGTTTCGGAAGGAATTGGGTGATTATTTAATTGAGGGGATGTAGCTACGTAGTTATTAAACAGGTGTTAACTGGGTGGTTGCATGATGAAAAGATGGTAATAGACAGTTTTAAAATCATATATTTTCATATAATGGTAATAGTGGAATATCCAAAAAATGTGAGACAAACACTGGTTTCGTGAAATGAGTGGTGTCATTGTTGCATGTAATAGGATAATTGGTAAATGCGAAAAAAAAAACTTGTAACGAGAGTTGCAAAATTCTTTATAAAATGAGTCTTTGCAAATATTTCGATTCGTACATTTTGACTTTTTTTTTAGCGCAACTTAAACATATTTCAAAAAATAACAAGTAGTGACATATGAAATCGTATGTAATTATTTAAGACTAAGTATCGTTTTTATATTCGAGATTTGAGGGAAAGTAATAGGTGGATAATAAAGCATTTTTCCTGCTTGTCAAATTTTCATTTCATCGTTGCGACCGTAAAGGAACATGCTTTTCTTTTTTACTATTTAACGGGGGCAACATAACAAGATATTCTAAATTTTAGGAATATGTTCATTAGAAGTCTTAAAACTTGTCACAAAAGTACAATTGAGTCCTAAAATTTGCAAAATGTGTAATCGAGACCTAAAAATTGTCAAATTGATTTAATCGAGTCCTAAAGTTAACACCGTCTAATTTATTAACGGAAAATGCTAACATGGCACTTACGTGTTTTGTTTTATTACTTTTATTGAAATACGTGGCAATGATGTGGCGTCCAACAAGTGCCACGTCAGAAAAAGTTAAAAAAAATATAAATTAAATTAGAAAAAAAAATACCCCAACTAGCGGTTATGGCGGTGGCCAAGCCCTCGCCGGTGGCCACTGCCACAACCGTCGGGAAGGGCCGGCGGAGGTCTCCTGGGCCTTTTCGAAGCCCGACGACCCTCGCTGGCCCCGAGCGAGCCCTCGGCGAGGGCCTGCAGGCCCCGATCTAGGGGAGGGCACGACCTTCACCTCAAATCTGAGTGAGGGTCGGCAACCCTCGCCTAGGGCCAGTTTGTCACAGGTATATTAATTTGAAATTTTTTATGATCAAAAATTAATTTTTGATAAATTTATTATAAATATATCTGTTTAAGATTTTTTGTGGTATTAACCCTATAACAATTATCACTCTTTGTGACAGTGACGACGTTAAAGACAAAATTTGAACCGCAAGTTTGAGCTACGTGCCTTCCTCGTTTATGAAGTTTTACGGAGGATCGCAGGAGACATCCCTGGTTTTGATGCTTTCACCTTTTTTTATTTTATTTTATTTTAGGACTCACCTGGCAGTGCTGTTGTTTTTGCTGCTGTTCAAATTTTAAAATTTATTAAATGACAAGACAAGCGTAAAATCATGCCATTTGCAGGGATGGTCATGCATAGTTGTTTCGGATATGATTAATCGTGCGTCCCAAGTGCAAGTTCAGAATGCAAATGTGATCAAACAGGAGAACCAAGGACAACTTGATCAATGGAAAGGTTTTTCTTTAAGAGAAAACGGTGATCTAGGATGTGTCCCAAATACAAGTTGATCAGAGATCTAAAATGAGTGATCAAATGCGTGTTCCGAGCGCATGCTGACTACAACGGAGATTTTTAGAAAGAGCTATCAAACATGCGTCCCAAGTCTAAGTTGATCGTTTGTTTCTTTTTTGTTTAAATCGGTGATCAAATATGTATCCCAAGCACAAATTGGTTAGAGATTTGAAATGAATTATCAGACACGCGTCTCAAGTGCACACTAACGACAACAAAGGTTTTTTTTTTTAATAATAATGGGTGATCAAACATGCATCTCAAGTGTAAGTAGATTGGAAATCAGTGATCAGACACGCGTTTCGAATGCATGCTGACCATAATGAATGTTCTAAAAATGATTGGATAAAAAAAGTCGGGCTTTGTCCCAATTATTGTTGGTTAGTAAAACAAGCTAAGAGGTGCAGTGTCCCACATCGAAAAGATGTGAGTGCGCACGTGGACGAAATTTGGCACTAATCAACGATCATTAGTTATTTATCAAAATTCGACCCATTGTGTCCTATTGAAACGGAAGGAGTCATGATTATTTTTTTATTATTTAATTTTGAATTTTTATCTTCTACCTAATAGTTATTAGGCGCTTTTACAACTTTTGGAAGATTTTATCTGTTTGAACATAACTTCTTTACATTTGAAAAGTTATGTTTGTTCAAAGTATATAATTTTTCAACGTTTTTGTTCAAGAACTATCATTTTTCGTTTCTTTTGCAAGATAACAGCCAGATTTTTCAATTGTTTACCTTGAGATATCCTGGAGAAGTACCATAATTACTATCTAGTATTCTCATTCGAGACTTTATTGTATCCCGGAGGATTTTTGCCGATAACCATTAGCAATAATGTGGGATAAATAATTCATTAAAGAAAGTATTATTATGCCTCAAAGTCTAACTCATTATTCTTCCCGATTCACGTTAACATTTTCCCAACAATGTTAAGAAATTATTTTGTAACAATAGAGTTAAAGTCAATCAAAGTTATAAATCAAGACACAGTGAAACTAAACCATTTTGATGGCAACAATTTTGCTCATTGGAGTGAAGGAACTACCTGACAACTACAGCAATGGATACGCGGTCAACGATTCAAAGAACGGAAACCTTTTTGTTCACCTCTAAATCCGTGAATGAGGGCCACCCCGACATGTTGTGTGACACGATCTCCGATGCTGTCCTTGATGCCTGCCTCAAGCAGGACCCTGACAGCAAGGTTGATTGCCAAACGTGCCCCAAGACCAACATGGTCATGGTGATCGGAGAAATTACCACCAAGGCCAATGTAGACTATGATAAAATTGTCCGTGACACATGCAGGTCTATTGGATTTGTGTCTGATGATGTTGGTCTTCATGCTGACCAGTGCAAGGTTCTGGGCAACATTGAGCAGCAGAGCCCTGATATTGCCCAGGGAGTCCACGGCCATCTCACCAAGCGCCCAGAAGAGATTGGTGCCGGTGATCAGGGCCACATTTTTGGATATGCCTCCGATGAAACCCCTGAATTTGTTGCCTATAGAGATCCAAAGCCTCCCACCTTTGTTGTTACATGCATGGGATGACATGCAGTGCTCTATTTATGGAGGCGATCGGGAGATACCAAATGGGTTTTCGGGTGTCCCTTTTTTGGTTCTGATGTGTTCCATTTGCTGTCCTTGCTCCTCATAGATCTGTTTTCAGGGAATATGATAGATAGCATATATGGGCTGTGAGAGTAGGATTGCACTGGTTTTCTATTTTTGGTATATGTATTTTGTTGAGTTTTCTTGACTTTTCTTGAGTTCTTTTGCCGTGTATTGGCTCATGGTACAAAGTCATAGGAACCGTCCACATCAGAGGTCACATTTGTCAGGTTCATTGTGAGTATAGTTATGGGCAACGATACTTCTCGCGTCGTGGGCTGCTTCATTCCCAATGGGAAAGGCGGAGTCGATTTGGAGTTCTCGGAGCCTTTGGATGAGGGATTAGGCCATTAATTTTTGCATCATGGCCCTTGGATAGACGAGGCGGTATTATATTTGGGATGATCGAGAAAGGGGTAACGTCTGGTCCTCTGGATGCTACAAATAAATCCAACATCTCAGCACCTCTTGCACGGGGGCGTTGAAGACATTGTAACATCCCCAAATTTGGACCCAAATGGAACCGAGATGACCGAAGGAAAAGGCCTTGGAAATGGTGTGTGGACTGATCCGAGGGTCGGTCATGGATTGGTCAGTATGGACGGAACGGTATCTAAAGGATCGGTCATGGTTCGAAGGATTGTCCATGGATCGGCTAAGGGATCGCCAATGAAATGACTTCCTGATCACGCAAGTCGATTAGAGTGATTCGACCATAATTCGACCATTCGACCATAAGGGTCGGTAGTGGAATGATTCCGGGCGGCTGTGGATTGACGTTGTACGGCATGTGTCGGTCGCGGGTGATTATACTCGGCCATGCACCGGTCACGAACGTCCATGGACCAACTCCGTGGTACTCGGTTTCACGCGGCTACATGACAACCGAGGGTCGACCATAAATCGTTGATGCTCGAACATGGATCGATCGCGAATCGGCCGTGGATCGTTGCGTTGAATTGGGTAGGCCATGGACAGGTCATGTGTCCGGCCTTGCGCCCGGCCATGTGCCCATCAGTCAGGCCATGGGCCGGCCTTGTACCTGTCCGTGTACCGGCCATTGTGCCTTACCTTTGTGCCGAACTTTGTGCCCATGAGTTCCGGTCCAAACCCAATTTTGTGCTCGTCAAACTTGGCCACGAGCCATGCATTATGCCGCCCTTGGGCCAATGCGTGCGTTCGACCCATGAATTGATCCCTCATCCGTGTATTCCACACATGCGCTCGGTACATTGTTCATGTGGCCCAGCCTTGTGCCAGCACACCGTTCGTGTGGCCCGGTTCTGCGCGCATGCATTCGGCTCCATGCCCATGCATTCGGCCTTGTGCCAAGTGGCCCAACTGACCAGGCCACATACCGTGCAGCGCCCGGCACCGCATACATGTAATGGTCGGCACAACGCTCGTGCAGCTCGGCTTTTTACCCGACACAGAGCTCGTCCAGGCGAATTTGTGCTCGGTCAGGCTTGTCCAAACAAGTTCAGCATTTGGTCATTTCAAATTTTGGTTCAACATCACTTGGACATTATTTGGCCCCGAACCTCGAATTTCTAATGGGAGGGTCGATCGTTTAAGACACCTGGAACCTTAATTCTCTTAGTTCTTTGCCAAGCCAAGTTTAGTGAAATCTTGGTGTCCAAAGAAGGAAGTGCCATTAGAACTAAACAAGGACCCAATTATTGAGTGTTTCTTGATATAGTCATATGATTCACGCCTAACATGCTTCTTGGACAAGAAGACATGATGACTTCACTATTTGTACATTATTGATAACTTTTTGGACAAGTTGATCAATAATAAAGATGAACCCCCAATAATAGAGCTTGGGTCAATAATGAAGTTGTCTTGCATGAGCCAATAATTGTGGCCTCTAGGAAGTGATTCACGCCCAAGGAAGAAGCCATGGACTAGAGGACAAATTAGCAACTTCTTTTGGATGTTGTCTAATAATTGAAATATAGCACCAATAATTAACAACTTCCTTAGAAAGTTGTCAATGATAAAACTTGACCAAGAAGACCCTTAATAATAAAGATAGGAATCTTGTGGAAGACTTCAATAATTGAGTCTTGAAGATCAAGACAACTATTCACGCTCAACTTAGAGGCTCGTGACCAAAGGGAGGACAAGAGAGAGAGAGAAACCATGATGATTTACTTAGGCTTTAAATGAATTAGTAGGGCCTAATGACCCTAAGGTAGAGACTTAAAGACCAAGTTGGAGATGAATGGCCTCAATTAAAGGCTTGCATAAGAAGTTTAATTATGACCAAAGACTTTCAAGGTCTTATCATAATGAAGCTTAGACTTTAGGGCCCTTTCATTAATAGATTTCGGCCTTAGCTCATTAGGACTATGAGTGGACCATAATATAAATAGGCTTGGGTCTCCCTTAGTCTCCTTTTTCCTCACACCATCACCATCCACGCCTACCCCACCAACCGGTTCTCTCTTGTTCACGCCACCTTCTGCTTGCTCACGCCAATCACTACTTCATTCTCACGTCACCATTTAGTCCCCATAAAATCTCACTTTGTCGAGTAGAGTAAGTAGATTCCCTAATCTTAGGATATGATGACCTAATACGTTATTAGCTAGTATTTAATCTTGAACCATGCTCGGACTTTATTTAATGTGGATTTTGTTTATATAGTTGTCTATATAAGCAAAGCATAAGTCTAGACACGTCTCGGGCACGAGAAAGGGCAAGTACGCCTCGTACGCACGCCATGGTGCATGAACTGAATGAATTCTGTGCGTTTGTTGATACATACATCATGGAAATACCATGTTTTATGTTTGCTTGTGTCACGTCCCGACCTGGAATCACGATTGATGCTTAATGACCGAACATGATCCGAACGGAATAGTGACTCGTGAAAATAAATTAGTGCGTCCCGTTCATTTCAATCAATGCGTACACGGAAGCAAATATAAACGGAACATCACAATATCAACATAAGCAAACTTCGCACGTTATATTTATATGATACGTGCTTATTTTCACAAGCCTTACTCTCGGACCATGCAAATTGCACACATATATTTTACATGCCAATTTCAAGGGCGATTTCGAAAAACAAACCAACTATTCACAAACAAAACTTTGGCCTGGGGTCCCTAACTCTACTATGGCTTTTTGCTTCTCGCTCCTCGGTCCTCTCGTTCCCCATTCATCCGGCCATCTCAAGCCCCGCCCATACCCTGTCTTGGAGCCGGCCTGCCTGGTCCGTCGAACGGCCCGTTAAACCCACATAGGGGTCCAACCCACTCTCCGTTTGCGAGGCAATACCATGCCTCGTACGGGTGGGGAACTAAGTCCTCACGGCCTTCATCAACCATAACACACGTTGTGATCCGACGATAAGCGCGACCTTCCCGGGCATTTATTATAGTGAGCAATTCGGCTCTCATTTCTATGGGATTTCCGAACCGGATCGGGGGGAGACACCATCTTACGGACCTGAAAAGATGAAAACAACAGGGAGTGAGTCGGAGAGACTCAATAAGTAAAAACACTAATAGCAAGCGAAGATGAGACAATCGCCGTTCACATAAATTGGCTCTTACCGTACCGGCATCGATGGCAAATCAATAGCAAAGTTCGTGCTACAAACAACAAAAGAACATCAAACATGATTGTCACACGTGAGCATCACTTGTCAAAGAAAGAACAAGCTATAATCGACCAAGAAACCAAGAAACGGCCCAAGCAAACCATGTTACAACGTATCGCAACTTCCTTTCTCGATATTGGGGAATTCACTTACACAACATAACACTAGAACACGAGAGACTAAAGAAAGCAAGTGGCTTGAGGAAGGAAAAAGGCTTGAGTTCGGGAAAAACGGGGTCTCGGGCGTGACTTTCTAGCCTGGCTGAATCAAAAGAAAAGGGAGAATCAGTGGGGCTTTCTCCTTGGGCGTGAACAAGGGAAGAAGAGAGCAAGTGGCTGGTGGTGTGTGTGTGTGTTTGGGCGTGAGAATGAGGAGAGAGATAGTGATGGCGTGAGGGCTCTTTCACGTGAGCTTCTCTTGGCCGAATCCCCCTCCTTGTTTTGTGTCAATAATTGATGACCATATGTCATCAAACTTCCTTTAATGACATGCATAACTCAGCTGGTCAAAAATAAATGAAGGGGATACCTAAGCTAGTCCAATAATGGTGGTCTTAAATGGCTTTTAATGGGCATTTGACTTGGTCAAGAGTTTTGTCTCTAGCTCCTTCTAATTCTGAACCGTGGGACTCAATTCTGGTCCTCTAGGATTATTGGTTCCACTCACAAATGATTCGGGTCACCCGATTTACACAACCTGACTAATAATTCCTTAATTCGTAACCCCACGTCATACTATTCTACTAGTTTTCCAAGGGTTTTTCACGCTTGGTATATCTGTTCAACCCGAGGTTCGGTGTGAGAATGTCCTCAAATATCACCTAACACAACCAAACTAAGGTCGAAGTTAAATGGAATAAATCCAAGCTAATCGACTGACTGGGCACGTGGCTGGGTCTGAGTAGGCGTGTGGCCTGGCGCACTGCCGGGCCATATGGGCACGCGATTGGGCCACACAGGCATAGGGCCGGGCACATGGCCGAGCCGCATGGGCGCTGCGCTAGGCTGCACGGGCGCTGCGCCAGGCTGCACGGGCGACGTACCGAGCACCACACCGACTGCACGAGCAACGTGCCGAGCATCATGCTGGCTGCACGAGCAACGTGCCGAGCACCATGCTGGCTACATGAGCGAGAGATCGATTCACCGCCAAACACGCACATTAGCTCATGAATGGCACAATGCACGGCTCATGGCCATATTTCTTGGGCATGGGACTAGATCGGAATCGGATCCAATGGGCACGTTGCTTGGCACAAGGGTCGGGCACAATGACTGATACACGATCGGGCACGAAGTCGGTCCGTGACCTAGCTAATGGGCAC